GGAATGCTACTGATGGTATCTTAGTTCATTCTTTGACTGGTCATACTGAATCTGTAAGTCATTTGTTTTTCTGATTTGTGAATCTTTTCTTGAATCTTGTTATTTTCTGCTTGCATTTAGGATTCAGCTATTATATAACCATATGCGTAGGCTGATCAAAAAATTACCACATGCCTAATTACAGTGGATGCTGATCATTAATCACTGTCATGATTGACAGTTTAGTATTAGATGGAGCTTTGGCTTGGACTGAAATTCTTTATCATATTTTTGCTTCTCTATTTAGCCTAGAGATTACAGTTAGTTCCTAGTCCGTTGCTGCATTTGTTTATTGTCTAAGTCTATCCAGTAGGGAAATAAATGAGATTAATACATGTCAATACCAGTTCTAATATTTCACTAGTGATTGCATTCATACATTCCATTCAAGCGAGTTATTGTTTTCAAGATATTTATATTGATTGCCCTTCTCCCAACTTTGTCGAATTCATGGAATTTATGATTTTAGAATTTAGGTTTCCAGTAACTATTCAATTCTGCACCCAAGCAACAAGCCCATTTTGTATCTAATATTTTTTTTTGAAGTCTCCAGCACCTTTACCATTATGGTTTGTTGCTTTTATCAGAATCTGTCTACTATCTTTTGTTTTGCTTTTGTTGCTCTGAAGCCAGGTTTTTGGTTGCTTAGGTTGCTTTTTCCTGCAGTATCTAAACGTATTAATTTATTAACTGATTTTAATTTATTAACTAATATATATCAACTATTTTATAAATTATTAGTTAATGTTCATAGTTATTTGCAAAATTTTATTAATGAATTAAATTAAATAAAATTAGTATTTTTAAAGATAATATTTTACAATTTTAATAGCACATGGATTGAGTTTTTTTCTGATAGAAAGGAGTTGTATTGGTACCAGACTAAAAATAGTTAAAGGATTCAGACGGAAACGAAACGATAAATGGAAATTAGAGTAGAATGGTCAAACAGGCTGCTTCTGGTCTAAATTAACCGACGGTTCAATTCAACAAAATGGACCCAATGTTTCTACAGACTACAAGTAATAATCGGATCCAATTAGAAGTCCATACAAACAAAGGCATCATTCAATCAAATAATATCAGAGCTGGGAAACATAATGCCCCATAGAGTATTTTCTCTGGATCTTATTTTTTATTTTATTTTATTTTTTGTGTTTTACAAAGGGAAACGTGGAATATTTTTTCTTATTCTTTTTCTTTAACAAAGAGAAATGTGGAGGATGGGAAAGAATAAAGAAAAATAATTTTTTTTTAAGAGAAACAAATTCAAATTGATTTCAATCTGGTGATCACTAGCACCAAATTTTTTTAATTAATTAAAGCCTGCCTTAAGAACAAATCCAAATTGATTTCAATCAGGTAATCTTATTTTCTCCACCAAATCATAGATGAAATATTGGAAATTGAATGGTTCATATTTCGCGATGAGTTTTATCTTTGATATATATTAGGATAAGACATAAAGCATGCATCCACAATTACAATATGGAAACTCGGAATATTTTTAGGGCCCAACAAGGCAGCAACCATTTGAAACAGAGCAGCAAGTTCATTGCTATACATAATTCTTGCCACAGAACAGAGAAATATTGATACCAAGAGCAAATCCAATTCCATATAGATAAATTAATACATCAATGTCAGCAACCTTTTAGTGAGCTGTGGTTCCCTACGTTACCTCCTGCATCTCCTACTAATTCAGCAAACCACTCAGACCCTATATCCAATCCATGCTCATCCAACATCACAACCTATAAACACAAGATACCAAAACAAGGATAAATCCCAACAAGAACTGTATCTCCAAACCTCCATAAACCAAATCAACAATGATACTATTAAAAAACAAAGTAAAAGTAAAACTATGAAGGGTTTTCCAGACGAGTACCCAGTCATCAGACCTGATATGGTTCATGACAGCCATATCTTCATCATCAACCTGGGCCTTCACATCTCTACATAAACAAAACCAGCATAAACTCGTCTAAGTTAAGTTAGAAACTATAAAAAAAATAGATTAATGGCATAAAATTACAGAAAAGGGGAATGAAAGCACTGTGAATTTTTGGGGTTAGAGTGAATTTGAACATCATCAACAGGACAGTAGTTTCTGAGCTTATCACTGTTATGATCCGAATTGGCAATGCTCTCAACCCACATAAAGAAAAGCGATTACTTTTGTCAAAAATTCAAAACCAAATGAGAATTCGGCTAAAAAACATGGAAGGATGCATGGACAGATGGGTTACCACAGATGGACCAACGAATTTGCATTGTTTAACTGAAAATTTCAATCAAAATAAGATTAAGATTAATGAAATGTTGTAGAAAATGAAGTAGGATTGATTGTTTAAATTCTAGCAGAAGGAACCTGAAGGAATGCTTGAGTTGGTCCAGCGAGGAGTAGCACAAACGCAGAAGGAAATTGCCATGAGAAACAAAATGGGTTTTGTTTGCCAGATGGATGATTTCGTTTCCTTGGCTGAAGTGAAATGGTGGAAAACAACGCCGTGTAATTAAATAAAATGGAGGTAAATGGAAATCTTGTTATCAACAGAGGTTTTTTTTAAGTGTTTTGCATATTGTTTTTTTCTAGAGAAATTATTTAAAACTTTATATTTTAATTAATTTTTTGAAAATTCAAATGTTAAAT